TCGAAACACAAAACCAGCCATCATTGAGAACAAACAGATGGAAAACAAAATTATTTTCCTCTTTCTGCAAGGTAAAGGTTGCTAAAAAGATCAAAACTGGCTATTAACTTTGTCTGCTGCATGCAAAAGATACCTGCGCATCTCCTATGCTCTGGCCTAACTTCAGGTTAACTTCCGAAAGAGAGAGTACACTTCAATGCAATCAACTTATTTCCTTCTTCCAGCATGAACGGTTAGGAAACTGTCACTCTGCTCTTTTAACAGGTACCAACTCTTTCCTCTAAAAGAAATGATCATTTGCTTTGTCTGATCCTTCTTTTTTCATGTCTTCCAACTTTTTAAATTTCTTTCATTTTGTTGCTACACGTGCATCTACTTTTGGATTGACGACTTAGGCTCTTTATCTTTTCTGATGAAGATTCTGTTGATCTCTTTTCTTGAGGTGTGGATTTGTTGATTACATTTTCCACCATATCCTTAGTGTTGGCATGTCACTCAATCTTGTCTCCCAAGGCTGTGGAGTCTACACTTTTTGGAGACTCCATTTTGGGTGAGGAGGCTTTGGAGTCATGGTGTTTCTTGGGTGATGGCATAGACTCTTTAGGTTTAGGTGTCTCCATTTCAGGAGGCGAAACTGTGAAGTTTTGATGTTTCTTTGGTGATGGGGCTGACTCTTCACTTTTGGGTGACTCCACTTTCTTAGAGGATACTGTGAGGTCCTGATGTTCCTCAGCTGACTTAGAAGATTCTTCATTTTTGGGTAATTTTGGAGACAGTACATTCTTGTCAGGAGATTTCAGACCTTCATTTTCTACTGGAGGTCTAATTTTACTTTTACTGGGGGATAGATTTGTTGAATCTTCTTTCACTTCAGTTTTGCTGGTTGGTTCCGCAACATTCTCTGATTTGGCGGATGCTGTGAGGCCCTGATATTCCTCAGGTGACTTAGAAGATCCTTCATTTTTAGGTAATTTCAGAGACACTACACTCTTGCCAGGAGATTTCAGACCTTCATTTTCTACTGGAGGTCTACTTTTGCTCGGGGATAGATTTGTTGAGTCTTCTTTCACTTCAGTTTTGCTGATTGGTTCCACGACATTCTCTGATTTGGCAGGCGACTCCACTTTCGCCGGCATAGCTGTAGAGTTGTGCTGAGTCCTGGGTGAGTCTAGAGACTTTTCATTCTTATGAGGTGAATCCGTGCCATCATCCTTGTTGGTGGATATATCCGTGTTGTCCTCTTTTTTGTCTATCGATTCTGCAACCTCTGGATTGACCTCTGTCTTTTTCTCAAATTCCAAAGGTCCAAGCTTTGCATTACTATTCTTAATTGCAGTTGTTAATGATCTTGCATCACGAGCAGCTGCTAGCCGTTCAGGTGATGATGCCTGTTTTGCGAGAAGAAAAGAAGATATCACCACATCAAAGTAGTTATTCATGGCTTAAGTGGTATTATTATTAGTATAATTATTGTTATTATCATTATCTGATAATTACTGCAAAGAGAACCCAGAAGTAGTTAAATAATTTCATAGCAACAGAATGGATAGCTCCAAAATCAGTGATCAATGTTAGCAACAAGTTCACAAGTCACATTTGAATGCTACAAAATTGCGGGACCATTTAATAAGTTACCTGTTGCAATTGTTCAGCCCTTTTCTTAAGAGCTTCTAAAGATGCTTCCTTGTGAATAAGTTTTAAAATGTAGACCAAGTGAGACTGGAGATTCTCTTGACGATGCTCGCCTGCTTTGCATTGGGGAATGGTAGAAAGGCAACCAACTGGGTAAAAGGAACAGTTGACGAGTTTCATCGGACAAACAGTTATACAGTGCCGGTCCATTTCACGCTGCATGAGCATTTCTGGGCACTTCTGCTCGCACTGAAGTATTTTGAAAGGACAAGTAGAATCATGCTGTTCCAGTTGAGCTGCACTAAATCTGGCATTACAGCCCTCATTTGCACAGTTTATTTCCCTGAAACCACACGAGGAGACATGTTGCACAAGCTCTTCTTGGGACTTAAACTTCATATTGCAGTGAAAGGTGTTCTTGAAGTCAACATTTCTAATCACTGTCTGTGCTACGGTTTCCCTCCTCCCCATCAACCAAAAGCCATTTATTTCCATTTCTTGTACGAAATCATCTATTCTGTCCTCTCTCCTTTCACTTAGTACCCATCCCGAAACCTTGCTAAAGAAATTCCTCTTTGACTGTCCAAAATCATCAATAAAATCTGAAATGATATCGTAAGGGTTGTCAGAGACGACTGTTTCTGTTCCACCATCTAAAACAACAGACTCGGCAACAAATGTCTCGCTTCTCTGGATAAGATAATCCACCATTTCTCTTCTGACATCAACAGCGACAGAAGCAGGGCTCTTGAATAGACCACCAGTCGTGTTGTCAACACAGGCCGAGGCTAATCCTGTAAGGAATTCCTGTGCAACCTTGCGAACCATTTCTGCATCGAATAGATTACAAGAAAAGAGAGGACCTTCCTCTTTTACTTCTTCAAGTGTCGAATCCCCTTCATTTGTAGGGGGGTCCATGTTTGAAGATGCTTCCAACATTATGTATGAACTGCACTACACAGCAAATGAATACATGAAAACAATACTGGTGAAAGAAATAACTTTCAGCAAGAAAAATGTGCACTAGTAATGAGCTTTAACCGCAAATAAACAGATACAGTGGAACAAGAGGATTGAAAAAATTCACCAAGCTTTAGGTTTCATATTAGGTATGCTACATTATTTGATCACAGGATTTATGATGAAGAAACAGAAGCAGTAAAAGATTAAGAAATAACACCCAATCCGAAAGACAAAAGGGAAACTTTAGACTAAATTCAAATTAGTGAATTGCTTTTACCCAAATTTCCAACCAAAGAGAAATCAGAGGAATGCATTTGCAAAATGGCCATTACAGAATCAGACATAAAACCCAAAAGAGAACACAGTCTAACTGTAAGATTGGATCAAATGTAAAAAATTTGAAATCCATAAAAATGGGTATAAACACATACCTAATTAAATACCAAGCCTCGAATTCAAAATCAGCTCAAATCACCTTTCTGCTATATAAACATTTTTCAAGGAAGTCAAGAGCTACAAAATGCAGATAGAAAAAACATAAAGACAAGAACCAAACAAAAAGGTGAAAGAAAAGAAGACAAATTTCAGAAAGAAAGAAAAAAAAGAACCTCAGTACCTTCAGTTTTGCGACTTTGTCTCCGCAAATGAAGCTAAATAATTTTCTACAAAATTATTCTGACCGACAAAACCGTCCCTCCACGATCGCCTTTCTCCTTCTTTTTTTAAGCATGCGCGATGAGCCTAAGCTGCTAAGCGTATATTTTTTTTTTCCATTCTGTAATCTGTATGCTGAAGCCGTTAATGTGAAAATAAGAAACCAATATTTTTATTACGACCCCTCAAGTTTTGCAGGAGGTCCCAATTACCCCAACGGAAACAAAATTCGTACATACTTGCTGTCAAACTAATTCAAGAGAAGCATACAGCTCCGAATACGGTTTAACGGCTCAAAGATCCAAGCTTTTAGACTTCTCTTTCACTACTAGCTAGTCCCTAACTTTTGATCTGGCACATAGTTTAAAAAAGAGTTTTTTTAATTATCTTAAGTATGCATTTAAAATAAATGAAGATTTTAAATTAAATTGTTTTTTTAAATATAAAAGGGTATTGTTCTTTGTTAAAGGAAAAAAATGAAACATTATGTAACACATAAAATGGAACATAACCTATATAGTGAGAAAATAATATTCTTTTCAAATTCTCATCTTACTCACAATTGGGTAAAAGTTATTTACACCTTCCAACTTTGCCCTAAAAATCAAACTCTCCCCTTAATTTTGAACGATAGTCATTCTCCCCCTCTTATCCTATGCAATATTAATTTTGCCTTTGACATTTTTAATTCTCTGTCTATATAATACCTTTTAATATTATTTAGAATAATATTTTATTTTTTAACCTAGACATTTTACTCAGTTTAAATAATTTTCTATCTTAGTATAGATTTTTACTTAATTTTATTAACATTAAAAGCAAAATATTCTTTTAAAAAATTTATTACAAAATCTAACGCTATTTTTTTTATAATTGTTATTTAAATATAACATACATTAAGTATGTATATCTGAGTGTGTGCATACATATATATTTAAATTTTGCTCTCTCTTATTTTCTAGCATCTATATGGATAAATGAGTTTTGATTGTCACAAATGAAACAATATTTAAATTATAATTTAGAATGCATTTACGTTATAAATAGATAATCTTTTAGAATTCTGTTATAAAATTTATTTCTATTTTTATTTCTTTAGTGGCGACTAAAACTCATTTATCTATATAGAATTCTATTATAAATTAATCTCTAATTTTATTCATTATTGTGAGCACCTAATTTTTGCCCCGCATGAAAATAACTCTTAAAAATAGACCAAAAATAATTTTTGAAGGATTTTAGAAGTTTTTCTTTATTAAGTTGCATTTCATGCATTTTTAATATTTTAAATCATAAAAAATCATTAAAAAAATTGTCACATTTAATTTCATGTCATCTTAGGTTTAATTTGTATTTAAGAATTTAATTGCATCATTAAACAAAAAATCACAAAAATTACTAGAATAATAATGTCCACATTTTAGCTTTTAGTTTTAAATTAATTAGTTCTAAATTAGTAAAAATAAGTAAGATTAAATTTACAAAATAATTTAAGGTAGAGCCTAATTTAGGATTTTATTTAGCTTGTTTAGTTAATTTAATTGGATTTTTGAAATCAAAAGAAAAACAAAGAAAAAGAAGTAGATTTGGTCTTTCAATTTCGTCTGGCCCAGATTAATTTGAAGGCCAAAAATCCCAAATTACTCAAGCCCATACAATCTCAGCCCACTACACAAATACCCATTCCCTTTTTTTAAACTCTACCTCCTACACTCTAATATATATACACATTAGGAAACTTAGAGAAGAGATCAGATTCTTAATTTCCTTCACCAAAACGGTGCATCCCCCGCGGTCTGCATCTTCAACCTAAGAACAATTAGAAGAGAACCATTTCCTTCCAAAAGAGAAAATCAGACTCGGACCTTTGCAAAAACCAGAGCAAACAGCGCAACCCCAGCTCCCTTTCTTCTGTTTGCTTCATCATTTTCTCAAAACACACACAGAGAAACACCCAATTCTCATATCTGACTCCCTACATTTCCTTACTTCTCTGATAAACACCCAAACACACTAGGAAATCAAAATTGGAAGAAAAATCCGAAAAAATCGTTTCAAACAAAAATCAAAATGAAGCTGGAATTTGGGCATCAATTTTCCTAAATACTGCTGTTGTTGTTGTGTCATTCTTTTGCTTTCATCTCCTTGCAACTTCAGAGATTTATTCTTTTTGGTGGCTAAATCAGGTATGTAATTTAAGTTCTTAAGTTGAAAATGTTGAGGCATTTTTGTTGAAACAGAAGCAAATCGATTTAGCTCTTTTGATAAAGTTTCTTTCATGTTGGATCTTTTATTCGAGCATGTCTTGGAGTTATCATATTAATCCTGGATTCGTCTTGCTTTTCTGAGTTTCACATGACTACATTATATTGATCTCTATTTTAATGTCTTGTGTATCTAGCAGTATCTAACTTTTTGTTTCACAAGCCAAAGAGGTAAAAATATATATTCCAGCATTATCCAGTTCTTATTCTTCTCAAAACCAAATATCAAAACTGCTTAATCTGGTAACCTAATATATGCTAATATATTTTTTGCCTGGCGTGTGGACATGCTTGGTTCTCAATCTACAGTGCTTATTTCTAAAGAAGTAGTGTGCAAGGAATTTGTACTGATACTAGAAGTCAGTAGATGTTTCAAGAACAGTACAAGTTTGTGTTAATTCTTCTTTGTCCCCAGCACTTGCTGACCAAGAACGGACAGTCCTGATGCCTATGATTGTATTAATTTGATTACTAACAGCTTGAATGATTGTAAGTAACGAAGTGATTATTGTGAAAATATTGTTTAGTAAAAGTGTCTTCATTTGTGATTGATCCAACAAAAAAAACAAATATCTAGGATATTAAAAGAATTGTTTGTGGGGTTCATAAAAATATATTATAATTAATGTTTATCCAAGGAATAGCCACTTATCATATATGTCCTCACGTATTGATAAAATAATAAAAACGTCAGTATCAAGTCATGAGTTTGTTTAAGGCTTGAACAGATTTAAAATCTAAAGGAAGCTAAGCGTGTCCATTCGTATATTGATTGGCTTCAATTGAGCTAAACCTTTAGTTTTGGATTTATTGGAATCAAGCTTATAATAGCGTTCCCATGTTTGTGGTAGATGTATAAAGTCAGTTGGTAATTTTATGTTCTCAAAGTCTCCTTTGGTTCAACTGGTATGAGTTTAGGCTAGAGGTGTCAAATTTAACCCATAATTGTGTAACCCGCCCAACCCGTCCAAACTTTAACGGGTTGGTTCAATGATTTTTTCTTATCGGGTCAATTTGGGTTGTAACCCAAACTGACCTATCTCTAAAACGGGTCAAATTGGGTCACTCAACGGGTCAGTTTATCAACCTGGGACTTTCCTGACTTTCATCTAGTTGTGTCTTCTAAGACAAAACCCAACTTCTCCTAAATCCCTATATTTTATTATAACAGATTTAATTGCATTTGAAAATTTCCCATTTGTAACAGAACCTTGTCCTAAATGCCTTTAGAGATGATGTTTTCTTTCATAAAATTTCTTTTAGGTAAATGATTGCAGTATATATTAAAATCATACAACTTGTAATTTCTTAGGCGTCTTTAAATTTTTGTGAAATTGATTTAGAGAATTCTTTATAGATTAATGCATGATTCATGAAGATATGAAGAAAAAAACATATACATTCTGCAAGCTAGCCGATATATTTATGTAAGGTAACAATTATAATATTGGTTTTTACTAAATTATTATTCACTAGTTTACATTTTTTTAAAGTTGTAGACCTTGTTTTAGAGGAAGATTTTTTGTCAGGAAAAAGTTAAAGCCGAAATTAAATGCTGCCCTTTTTACTAAATTTAGATCTTTTTGATTGTTATTAAAAGATAACATAACCCAACTATTAAATTTTTTAAATGGTTTCAACCAAGTTTTGAATTACGTTAGAAGACAAGATACGATCCTAAAACTAATATTTGACAAAAATAGATGATGAATAATTGTAACTTGCAGCACACATAATACAATTTTATTTAAGTAATAGTTGCGCGGGTTGGGTTATGACCCGTTATTTGACCCATCTTAACCCAACCCATTTTGTCCCAAGCAAACTTTTGGGTGGGTTGGGTCATGACCCAGATATCAACACAACTCGTTTTGACCCGCCCAAATTTGACCCAACCCGCCCATTTGTCACTCCTAGTTTAGGCTAATGGTTGATGAATGTTGAGTTATCAGCATCTCCTCCAACCCAATACATGGTTCTGTAGCTCTCAACTTTAACACAGGATCTTGAATATAGAAAAGTAATTGATTCTATGAACATCTGTAGATTGCTTTAATTGAGTACAAATCTTTTAAAACAAATTGGGGCGTGCCATACACATATAAAATCCATAACCCATGGCCCTCACATTAATACTAACTAGTGTAGAAAATACTATGAACATTTGTAGCTTGCTTTAGGCGCGACTTGATCTATCATCGTGATTGTGTACACGTTCGCGTGACATAATTATGATCCTAATAACAAAATCGAGGTATGCGTTTGCGCAACTTCGACCGAACTTTCTTGATAATAATAAAGCGTGATTAATTGTGGACACGTACGCGTGAAATGATTTTTGACGCGCCAAACGAAATGAGTACACGTACGTGTGACCCATTTTTTTAGATTATTCCTTAATTAAGAGTAATTAAGCAAATAAAAGCGGTAAAAGGGGTAGATGCACATAGGTTCTAAAATAAGTAATTAGACAATTTAATTGAGCCAGATATGTTAAAGCGGTCGTGCTAAAATTACAAAATCCGTGAATACCTAACACCTTCTCCTGGGTTAACAGAATTCCTTACGTAGATTTCTGGTTTAGCAGACTTTTAAATAAAGTATATTTCACTCGATTTGGGATTTAAAATAAACTGGTGACTTGGGACACCATAATAAATATCCCAAGTGGTGACTCTGAAAAATTAAATAAAATAATCTCATTTCGATTTATGTCACTTTAATTGAAAAAATTCCCTTATATCCCTCTCGGGTAGTAAAAGTGAAAGGTTGAGTTCCACGTGCCCAACCGTCATGGCAAAGTTTGGAAAAGCTAGAGGTTCTCCAGGGTCAGAAATGAAATCGGTCCTCAGGGAACAAGCAGTTGCAGTTGAAATCTTCATCAACGAAGCCGGGCCGAGATCAAGTGACTAAAACGCTCAAGGCCACAAAATCAACCACCGTTTCAAACTAACAAACTGTTCTTTGTTTGAAAGAAAATAGGAAATAAATGCAATCCAAAGCAACCTTGCAAGAAGCAGGTGCAACCAAAAAGAAATGGCGCAAGGGCTAAAAACAACTTCGCAACAACTCCAAAAGGGAAGTCTTCTCCAAAATTCTTTCCCGCCTTTACTCATTCTCTGAAATTAAAAAAAAATGAAATGAAATGAAGAAGAAGAAGAAGAAAAATTAAAAATCATGGTAGCATAGGGTTTCCAGTCTCTAGCTACGTCTTTTCCAATATAGGGTCTCATTCCCTAGTCGATGCCAGCATAACCTGTTAATCTTTCCAACATAGGGTCTCACCCCCTAGTTGATCCCGGCATAACCCGAGGACCTTTCTGGCATAACCCGATGACTTCCCCAGCATAACCCGAGGACCTTTCCGGCATAACCCGATGACTTCTCCGGCATAATCCGAGGACCTTTCCGGCATAACCCGATGATTTCCCCGGCATTACCCGAGGACCTTTCCGGCATAACCCGATGACTTCCCCGGCATAACCCGAGGACCTTTCTGGCATAACCCAATGACTTCCCTGGCATAACCCGAGGACTTTTCCGGCATAATCCGATGACTTCCCCGGCATAACTCGAGGACCTTTTCAGCATAACCCGATGACTTCCCCCGCATAACCCGAGGACCTTTCCGGCATAAGCCGATGAATTCCCCGGCATAACCCGAGGACCTTTCCGGCATAACCCGATGACCTTCCCCGGCATAACCCAAGGACCTTTCCGGCATAACCCGATGACCTTCCCCGGCATAACCCGAGGACCTTTTTGGCATAACCCGAGGACCTTTCTGGCATAACTCGATGACATTGCCTGGCATAATCCGAGGACCTTTCCGGCATAACCCGATGACCTTTTCCGGCATAACCCGATGACCTTTCCCGGCATAACCCGAGGATCTTTCGGCATAACTCGAGGACCTTTCCGGAATAACTCGATGATTAACATAACCTGGTAATTTTTTTCAACATAGGGTCCCATTCCCTAGCTGATGCCAACATAACCTGGTAATCTTTTCCAATATAGGGTCTCACTCCCTAGCTCTGCTAGCATAACCTAGTAATCTTTTCCGGCATAGTGTCCCATTCCTTAGTTGATGCCAGCATAACCTGGTAACCTTTCCAACTTAGGATCTCCGATCCCCATTTGATTTCATTTTAGATATAGGGCTCCACTCCCTAATTTCTTTTCTACCAAGGATACACAATCCTGATTTTATTGCTTTCAATAAAGAAGTAGTTTAGATTTTTGTTACAATAACTCACGAAATTTTTCTAGTGAAAACTAGGGCAGAAAATTTCGTTCGTTTATTTGTTTTAGTACCTGATCAGGTTTTTACCTTGAGGCACAAGTTTCAAGGCGGCCAAAAGAAGAAGTCTCGATTCAAATAAAAGAAAAGAAAAAACAAGAAAAAAAGTGAGCTCTAAGTGTAGAAGCGGAAGAAAGATGTGGACTGCTCAAGATATGATTGAATCACAAGCTTTGCATGTCCCTCCTTGATCCGAAAAGCTGAAGAAGAATGAACCAACGGTTGCAGTTAACGAGCATCAAGATTCAGATCAGAGTCTGTAGGAAGAACCAGCCAAGACTCAAGATCAAGCTTTAGAAGGTTTATAGATAGAAATCTTGTAACTCGTAGCTGATAGTCTTAACTAGTTTAACTTTTCATTTTTCATTATGGTATAATAAGGAGCTCAGCAAGCATAAACAACAAGCAACAACAGTGAAATCACAGTTTTTCGGTAGTCCTAGCTACCAAAATTTCCAGAACTATACCGACTTGATTCCTTTATAGCCAAGGATACGTAGGCAACCTCTGAAGTAAGGTTCAGTCAAACTCTTTCAAAATGCTGCCAAATGGAGTTTCAAACGGGCAAAAATTGCTCGTAGTTTCTCACTTTATTTTTTGCCTAAAAACTCTTCATGTTTTCGAGCAAAGAGGGGCAGCTGTGAGCACCTAATTTTTGCCCCTCATGGAAATAACTCCTAAAAATAGACCAAAAATAATTTTTTAGGGATTTTAGAAGTTTTTCTTTATTTAGTTGCATTTCATGCATTTTTAATATTTTTAAATCATAAGAAAATCATTAAAACAATTGTCACATTTTAATTTCATGCCATCTTAGATTTAGTTTCATAGTTTAATTGCATTCATTAAACAAAAAATCACAAATATTACTACAATAGTCATGTCCACATTTTAGCTTTTAGTTTTAAATTAATTAGTTTTAAATTAGTAAAAATAAGTAAAATTAACTTTACAAAATAATTTAAGGTAGAGCCTAATTTAGGATTTTATTTAGCTTGTTTAGTTAATTCAATTAGTTTTTGAAATCAAAAGAAAAACAAAGAAAAAAAAAGTAGATTTGGTCTTTCAATTTCATCTGGCCCAGTTTAATTTGAAGCCCAAAAATTCCAAATTACCCAAGCCCATGCAATCTCAGCCCACTACCCAAATACTCATTCCCCTTTATTAAAACCCTACCTCCTACACTCTAATATATATACACATTAGGAAACCTAGAGAAGGGATCAGATTCCTAATTTTCCTTCACCAAAACGGCGCATCCCCCACGGTCTGCATCTTCAACCTAAGAACAATCAGAAGAGAACCCTTTCCTTCCAAAAGAGAAAAT